TCGATATCGACCCCCCAACACCCGAAGCTACTCGCCTCCGCCAATCGTTGCACCAACAAGGTCGTCTGCCTAGCACCAACTAAAATACATACCAGTAATCCATATGATTTCATCGTTCCTACCAGCCCACTCCCCCGGACCCTAGTTAATCTCTCAGCCGAGAAACTAATTTTTCCCTTAGATTTCACTTTTGGCTCGAGGTCTTTGAAGACAGGATTGCCTGCATCCATAATTCCATGCCTGGCAACGCCAATGCCAGATTCCGTCGCTGCTGCACGCAAGACCACCAGGCGAAGTTCGAGGTCCAGAGCGTCACTGTCAAGAAGCAAACCGGCGTGATCGACTGTGGCCTCCACCTTTTGGGCAACCTCGACAAAGGTATCTCGAGCATCCCTTGGTAATTTATGCCTTGCTTTGATTTCGCTTTGATTGAAGCACACAACTCGATTCATTGAGAGGCAGGGGATATTCCCAATCGACGTCTACTCGGCCGAGACATCGCGGACCATGTCCACGTGCTCGACGGTATAGTGTATGTACGGTGCTGACGTGACGCGGAAGCCAAAATCTTCGTAAAACGATCGCAAATACGACTGCGCGCCGATCTCAATCGCGTCACGAGGCCACCGCGCACTGCACTCGACGATCGCGCGCCGGACGAGCGCCTTTCCGAGGCCTTTGCCGCGCGCATCGGGCGCCGTGAGGACGCGTCCGATCATTGGTCGCCGCTGCGAGTCGTGTTTGGCGCCTGGCCCGAGGAGCCGCGCGTAGGCGACGACATTGCCCTTCTCCGAGACGTTGAAGAGGTGCAGACAGCGCTTGTCGACGTGGTCGAGATCCAAGTACGCGCTCTTTTGACCGACGACAAAGATTTGACAGCGCAGGTGTAGAATGTCGTACAAGGTCGACGCCGAGAGTTGGTCAAAGGAACAGCAGACCCACGTCATGAGGGAATGGTGTTTTTCTAAATGTGGATTGCTGAGTGGCCCCGTTTGTGTGGACCAGACGGCGGCGGACGTTTTCCAGAATATAGACCTGCTGTTGTCCATGCATATGGTGTCGCTCGTAGCCTTTGCTTGTGGACACTGTGTCTGGGGTTGGCGATTGGCGTGATCGATTCCAGTCACGCAGTCGCCG